AATCGAGCAGTGCAATAATTGACATGCATCTCATGTCTGGTCAGTAGCCAATGTCACTTTTTGGAGATTGACGCTGATTAAAGCTGATGGTGTCAAAAGTTAATGTCAGCCTCATCAGTGGAAACAGTTGAAAACACAATTTCAAGTCATTTTTCTTTGCTGGAGGGTCTTATATATAGACTTGAAAGATGTTTTTGGGACAATTTAAAGACCAAGAGGCCAAATCTGTAAATGATCAATTTATTAAATTATTATTTTTGTCAAAATAGGTAAGTTACTTGTCTAGCATGTAGTGACTTTTGGCTCCATAGTGTTTCATAATTCATTATTTCTACTTAAAGGAGTTAAAAAAGGAAACATACAGGTGGAGAGAGGTAGAGAGAGAGACAGAGACAGAGAGAGAGAGGTGCTTGCAAATAGATGGACACAGCAGAGTACCAGACTTGAAAAGAGGAAGAGAGCACAAATATGAAGGAGACAAAGAGTGATGGAGGGAGATGGAGAAAAGCATCCAATCTAGCTGTCGTCTCCGGAGGATGCTGCTGAAACCTGATATTAGGCTGGAGCCGGCCATCACTCTACCTCTCTCTCTCTCTCTCTCTCTCTCTCTCTCTCTCTCTCTCTCTCTCTCTCTCGCACGGCTCCGTACTGCTGAGACACATGCACACATTCCACCTGGTGTTTTGTTCATACTCAGAAAAGGTCAAACACAGCAAGATCGTTAATTCTAAATGACTCGGCCTGTTTTGTGCACGAGCCCAATCTCAGGTTGGTTTTTTTTATAAGACATGACTTTAGTAAAAGTGGTAAAATTTGATTATAGTGGATGAAAAAAACATTTTATGCAGATAAAATCGATGTGTTAAATATTAAAGAATTGCTATTTTAGTGTCCCAAATATCTAAATTTGGACTGTTGGATCACTAATGGCCCTTCACAGCTTAAAAGTGTTTGAATACTGATGATTTAATATTTCAAAACTGGTTTAACATAAATCTAAAACCACAGACAAATAGTCAGACTTGTTTTAACCCTATAATGCCAAATGTATTATATTTTATACACACGGTTTCTGAAGTCTTTTGGATCTGAGACTTTTTGCATCATTCAATGGTAAAAGCTTTGCTCAAACCCCAGTTGTACACATTCAGATATACCTGATTACAGGCAGACTACACGGAAATATATTTTTGACTTATTGTACGCTAATTTGATCAAAATAATTTTCTTCATATGTTGTTGAGGGGCCAAAGAAAGACTTTAGACTAAAAATATCCAATATTCTTCCTACTTTTCTTGGATCAGGCTTTAAAGGGTTAAATGTTGTGTCAGATACTGTGTCTTAAATTTACACTGCAAAGGAATTATGTATTTCTTAAAGCTTATAGATACTTTAACTGATTGCTGAAACTGGTTAGGCGTGAGAAAGGATGGAAATGAAGGCTGCTGCAAAGGCAGCAGAGGTGGAACTTGAGCACGCTGCAAATATTTGGGCAGGTGCTCTTACCATAGAAACGCAAACATCAGCGAGGTTTTTGTTTCGTCAAATTAGCTTCTAACCTTGGGACGGCTGCTGTAAGCCGAGGGTGCATATCGTCATGTGATATCTCATCCACCATTTGTTCATTCAGTACTCACTGTGTCAGTGACCCAATCAGTTGCTTGCACTGGCAAAAAAACAGCTTCTGTTTTAGTCATTTTAAATTCTTCCCTGTTACTGCAACCATGTCATCACTACACAAATTGATGAGCGCATTGACATGGTTTTGGTCAAGTAGGGCAAAAAGGCCATAACTCCTCTGAGCTTGTGGTTAAATAACTTACCCAAGCCAGTCATTGCAGCAATTTGAAGTTAAATATAACTTTATTATTTTTGCCAGGATGCCAGTTTTTCCATTAATCCAAAACAGCCTATAGTTTTAAGATTTTCCCCCCAGATAATTTGTAATGAAACAGGTTCTCTATATTCAGAGTTCTAACAGATATTCAAACCTCAAAGTAGAAAATAATCTTAGAGTTGGTAGCTAAATAAGGTACTTTTGAATTTACTTTGAGAACTGTAATGGTCGCTTCTAAAAGCTGAACCTTGCTTTCATGTTTATATATATGCTGTTCGTATATTTAGCAGAAGCCTTTATCCAAACCGAGGTAAAACACTCAATATTACCCTTGAAGAACTAGCCTAGGGGCCCGTTTCTGGATAGTTGCCGTAGTCAGGATTTGAACCCCTGACCTGCTGTTTCCAAAGATAGTAGTTTTCATCACTATGAATATATATATATGTGTATATATATATATTTTAGATCTAGCAATGGCAGAATGAACTAATTGGAGTTTGCAAAGTTGAGGTTTGGATTTTTTCGAGGATGACAAGTTGACTGTTGATATTCAAATCTAAGTGTAATTTCAACAAAATGATCAGTCATTGTCACTGACATATGCACTAAACACCAAGGCAAATTCCTTGTAAGTCTGAAAACCTACTTGGCAATAAACCTGATTCTGATTCTGATTCTGATTCTGATGAAAGAGAAAGCAACCAACGCCTGTTTTCTGCTAAGAAAACAGCCCAAGGTTTCTTTCAAAATCGAGTCTTTATAATTAATTTACCATATCCTTGTAAATCATTTTGGATTAAAGTATTTGGTGAATTCACAAGTGTGGATGTAAATCAGCCCTTGCCCGCACATGAAGTTGTTGTATTCATAGTGAAAAGGAAAAACATTTTTCCTTAAAAAAGATCTTTTTTAGGGAGCTTTAGAGGACTTTTGCAGTCCAGATCAAAGAGCAACAAGGAGGGAATAAGAAGGATGTGGTTGCTGAATAAGCTGAACATCTGACTCCCACTCAGAGGATGGGTTCGAGTCCCACTGGTGCTGATCTATTTTTAGCGCATGCATATATGCCTGAGGTTGTCCGTGGGAGGAGCGCAGAGGGAAAAGAGTGAGAACTGCAGGACAGGGGACTGATTTACAAAGTTTGTCACTTTTGTGGGAAAAAAACACATTTTATATGTTTTCCAGAACTTTTAAAAGCAGCCTATAGGTGACATTTAAACTTAAATGACATTTTTAGCCGTCATATTCTATGCCAAGAGTAAACTAAAAGAAATTATTAGAAAGAAATAACATAGAAATGTTCTTTGTAATGAGCAGTGACTGGATTCTAAAATTCATCCTATTCCTGTTAAATAGTAGCTAAATTTGGAGCCCACCTCAAACTGCCCCCTCACTGAGCCAATTGTTGTAAAGGACAGTTGCATAATATCAAGAATCATTCAGCACTCCTTAAAAATATCTAGATCTTTGTTTCTGTTCTAAAGGGCCTCAACAGGATCAATTCTAAGCGCAGCCGGACCAGCACTTAGCTCATCCGATTCCACACGAAGGGTAGTGTGACTCACAAAAGCAGCCATACACATAAGAACACACGATCACACACAAAAGAGGGGAGCACTATCACTGCGGGAGTACAGTGGACACAGAACGTGGGAGGGGATAGAGAGACAGAAACAAGAACAAAAGAAAAAAAAACAATCAAGAGAGGGAAACGGAAGAGGACAAAGTCCACATTGCAATGGATGTTTAACCTTAGTGTTTTTTAACACAAACCCAAGTTGCGATGCTCATTATTTGTGAACCTGATCTGAGAAGATACTTTCATGATTTTAACCGCAGTGAGACAAAAAAAAATGCTATGCCTACCATGTTTTTTCCTTTCGTCCCTATGTGCCTCAGCTGGTTATGAAAGTCTGAAATATATCTTTATCTTAAGCTGAAAGATAATTGACATTTTCTCACCTTTAAATTAAGCATACAAGAAGGTTGGGGAGTTAGGTAATTAAAAGGAAATGACAGAAACTGACATGCATTAGGGGGCTTATTAACACAGCAATCTCACAGCTCAAAGGTTCTTAGTTTGAGCCCCAACTCGGGTCATAAATTTGCATTTTCTCGCAGTGTATCTGTATGCCTGGTACTCCGGCTTCCTACCAATATTTAAAAACTTGCATGCTAGGTTAATTGGTGTGTGTAAATTGAGTTTGGGAGTGAGCATGCATTGTGATTTTCTTTTTATTTGTCTCTGCATAGTCCTGTGATGGACTGAGGACTGAGGCACTATACAATGTTAGATGACAGCATACATCTAACATAGAGATACCATAGATATTTTGCCATTGGAAATGACCATCTCAACAAACCAAAAACTCTGAAAGGCTCATATCTTATAAACCCAATAAAGGGGGTGTAAAAATAACCATGGCAGTAAAGTAATGCCCTTTGAAATATTTGTATCCTAGTGATTTACCATTGTGAAAGTGTAGAAAAACATAAATATAACCATACCAAACTAAATTTAGGAGAAGAAAGCCTGTTGTGACTTCTGAAAATACAAAAGAGACATCAAACATAAGTGTACTATATTGTACTGCATATTATAAAAGAACAGAAATCCACTGTTTTTTGTCTTATATTCTGTAAGAACCTTCTTGCATAACTTCAAGGAACAACTTGGTGTTGATATGAATAGTTCATCCCAATGCATTTAATTAATTTTAGATAGTGTACGTGCTAAGAGCATTGACTATTTAAGTCCAAACCTTTTATAATTTCCCACTTTTCAGGTATTGAACCAGGACCACTGTAACCCACTGTCATCAATCATGGTATCAAATGATCAAAGCGGTGGTGTTTAATGAAGTTTAATGAAAATCTGCCCAATATTGGTTGCAATGCGTAAAAGAATTAGCACATCCAATGAAGCTGTAGCTGTGAAATCGGGAAGTTAAAAAGACTTTTGGCCGCTCCCAGTCATTCAATATGAATTTGATAACTTCTCTTTATTCCTCCTGTAGGCGGAATCTTTAACAAGCTGTTCTAAATCATACGATCTTTGTTCTGATCTTGCTACAGGCCACTGTTGTATGGAGTGAGTGCCTTCTATTTAACAGTGGGCTGCAAAAAAATATATAACTCTGGCCCCTCTCCCTGTGTGCACAGGTAGAACAGGCCCACATCAAGCTGCAAACATGGATGAGATGGACCTGCCCCAGATGAAGAAGGAGGTGGAGAGCCTCAAATACCAGCTGGCCTTCAAACGAGAGAAATCCTCCAAAACAGTCACAGAGTGAGTTGTTCCATCCTCTGCAGATCTTTCAAGATCAATGGTGTAAAGGCGAGGTGCAGCTGTGACTCACTTGTAGGTAGCCGGAGGATTTATAGCACTGAACTCTGAGCACTGAGCGAAAAAATTAGATCTTACCTTGGTTCTATGTTTTTTTTTCCTTCGCTGTTGTGTGAGTGACTGATAATGTACAGAGTTCTACAAAGAAAAACAGTTAATCATTAGTTCAGATCATTTAAAAATCCATATAAAAAAAAACAAACAGGCGGACAGAAGTTTATTTTGTAATCAGCTTAATTTAGCAATATGCACCCGCAAAATAGTTGTTTTTTGTGGACATGATGAGGGCTTAATTTGTATAAACTGTTTTAAATTAACTAAATAATCACCAGGAGTTTCTAAGTGTGAGCTGACTGGTAATAAACTGAAGACTGATTGTTCTTCCTCCAGTTATTTTTTTTTACCACTACTTTGTCTCATAAATCACAGTCACCAGCAACCTTTGGTAGCCTATTCTCCACTACAGACCAATTAATGGGAATGTGTCGTAATCTCATTTACTTTTTGTTGCCTGTTCAAAAGATCTATTTAGATTTGCATCGTTTGTGAATGGAGAGTCAGATTGGCAAACTTTAAAGAACATTGATTTGGTTTCAGCTGAAGGTTCAGCTGGCGTCTCAGCAATAAAACAGCAGAAACATTTTTCAGAAACATGCAGAGGAAGAAGTGAAAAGTGAAAAAAATTAATGCATAGCTAAATATATCAAAGACCAGTATGTAAGTGATAATATTCAAAATGACTTCTCAATTAAAACACACCCTACTATCTCAGCACACTATTCACAGTACAAAGATAGAACAATACAATAGAATAATCTCCAATATTTAACAGTGAAAAATATACAGTAAATGTTTGATATCATATGTCCAAGTTAAACAATATAAATGTTTAACATTGACATAAACATTATAAATGTTTAACATGGAAAATAACCGTAATATATTTCTTTCTTTTCAACACAGAGAGGCACTTTTAGAAATACTTCAATATTTTGGCTGAACTTGCAAAGAGTATAACTGACTAATTCATGCATTATTTATTATGTGTGTTTTGCACTTATTTAGGGCAAAGATAGAAAGTTATTAAACTTAGCAATTTTATTTTGAGATTGAAGTCAATTAATACCACAACAGTGAAATAAAAAGGCTTAACTCCGGAAAAAGCTGGAGATAAAGTTAAGTGTAATAATTTACTTTTGGTAGGTCGTTTTTGTGTTCATTTTCCTTTTACTGTATGACGAAAAAAAGAATAGATAGAGGGTGAACTATTGACAAAACATTCTGATCAAATTTGAAATAACACATCTTTTTTGTTCTCTCTCTCCCTTTTTTCTCTTGATACACACTAAGTTTGGTAAAGTGGATAGAGGACGGCGTTCCAGAAGATCCCTTCCTGAACCCGGAGCTGATGAAAAACAATCCGTGGGTTGAAAAAGGAAAATGCGTCCTCCTCTAGGAGGAATTGTTGCTCTTCCTGTGACCATCCATGTCGACACATACAACCCTTCAGATCACCCGAGAAGCTGACCCTCCCCAATTTTTTAGGGCACAGGCAGGACCGCACATCTATTAACCTTTCACCATGAATGTACTACAGATGTAATCCTCAGACACACACACACACATCAACAGGAGCACAGAAATACAAACTGACCAACGAATACCCACACACTCGATCACTCCAACCCTTGAGATTTTCTCTGTCACACAATCACTACGAGTTTATTTCTATCACGCCAAGTCATTTTCATTACGATATGACAGTTGTGATCAATGTCTTTATATAAACAAGTGATGAGTTATTTATGCAGATCCCAGACAGATTTTCTTCTTACAATTTTGATGAGTTAATGAAGTCTGATATAATGTAGGTGTACGGGGTGAATTTGCCCCATGTTGAGATAGTAAGATGATCACAATCATAAGAATATAACCATCTTTTTTCATTTTAAACTGACAACTTATAGACTATCCATAGAAGGCGATAAAGATTTGATGGTAAGTACAGGTTGTTGTATGCAATCCTTGACATTTAAACTTACTTCATGTTGTAATATATTACAATTAATGCATGTGGCTAAGGGAGGAAAAGCTTTGAAAAGCTCCATTTGCAGTGGGTACATGTCTCATTTGTATTTGTACGTATATATGCCACTATACATGTAGCTCACAGAAGACAAGAACAGCAGGAGAAATTGATCACAACAGTTAAGATAGTCATTATCTATACATTAACACAAGGTATGAACAGTAAAGATTTTTAGTGGATCTCAGATGCCGTCTTGGATGCTGCCACCTTAGCTAATTTGATATCCTGTAGTTATAAAATCCATAAAAGATGTAGGTGACTATTGTGCATGAGGTTACTAACAGTGTCTCTATGAGGAAGCCATAGCGTAATGCATGTTAGCATAGCCCCGAATGCCATCCGGCACAGCATAAACAGTGGGCTGTCAATACTGAAACCCACATAAAAAAGTAGAAAACTTTACAACAGATGTATATCTTTCTTTATAGGCACCCTGTCAGAGCAAAATTGTTCATATTCGAGGTTGTGATACGCCATAATATTAATTCTGTCCTTCAACATTCAGGTGCAGAATAATCTTTAACTCATTACTATAACATCTGCCAGTTCAGTAGTGGTGTATGATCTGTTTAAATGATCATTTGAGAAAAAAATTGGGAATTACAAATATGAAATTTACCAACATATACAAAGATTTAGTTTAACTGATTAAATAGAAAGTTTTTAACCTCTCTTTGAAGCCCTACTAGCCCAAGTCTTAACATCGGCCTCCCTGTCTAAGTTTATTATGAGATTTTGGTTTATGAGTCACTATTTCACCAATGTGAAGCTTTTTTCAATCTACTCGCACCAAAGGCTTACACATTTTAACTCCATAGTGTAATGTCATGTTCAATTGACAATGTCCTATTTTTGATTTTACAACCATTTAAGCTTTAGCATGTATTGCTATTTGTTTAATGATATGAACTATGAGACTGTCCAACTCTGCTGCATGGCACTTGCCTTAATTAAACACAACAGGGATTAAAAACAACTGTTCAACAGGTCACTGCATTAAACCGGTGAACAGCAAAGCTCTGGAAGGCAGGGAGACATTTATATTTACAGAGACAGTTGAGTTAAGCTCTTTAAGTGGATAACTGCCCTTGCTCCTTTACTAAAGCACACGTACATAAAAAAGGTCTACTGATGAAGGTATACTTAAACTACAGATAGCGCTTTTACCCAATGGATTTTTCTATGTTAACCATTTGATAAGGACTTCCAAAAAGTTTACACACTTAACTTGGCAGCGAATTGCCAACTTGGTATCTTGCATAGTGAATTGGACACTTTCACAGCTCTGTACATTTTTACTTTATGTTTAACCTTTTTCTATAAAAGATGCCCAACATCCCTTTGAATTATTGTCAGTCACTAAAGTTTTTTTCCACTACTCATCTTTCCTTCTATTTCTTTATGATCAAAGCAAAATGCTAAGTACATATGGGTCAGTTTAAGTCCAACTGGACTCGTTTATTCACAAGTAATTAGACTCCAAATGGCTATCTTTGTCTTTATTTACTATGATTTTTGTTGGACATGCTTTTAATTATGTATATCTGTGTTTATGTTGGCTCTCAAACACCGCTTATTTTCAAGATGTCATACAGAGGACTGGTAGAAGCAGTGCTGAGGCAAATAAGAGCAAATAACCAACATTCTTGATTTAGATGTTTCAAATGCTATCTACAAAGGCATGCCAGTCTTTCTTCTTCTACCTTCAACTTAACATAAACCAAATAAAAGTTTCCTTTCCTCCAAGTTTATTGTTTATATTTAGCAAATCCCAATGTTTTTTTTATAGTTTGACTTTTTTTATTTGTCCCTAAGTGGAATATTCCAATTATAGGCAGAGTAGGTTAGATGGCTCCAGATGTGAACATGATACTAAAAACAGGTCTATTCTAAGGGTAAGATGCTGTTGTAATAACCACGTAATTAAATCTTCTCTGACATCAGGTAAACGTATTGACTGCTGAATCACAACTGTCATCTTAATATAACACCTAAAATTCAAATTATCTTTCTCTCAGGCTAAATTTTCAGTCAGCCATCTGCCCATGTGTCTGGATGATCATTAATTTGCCTCAAAGCTGTCCCGGCTATCTTCCTCTTGTGACTTCTAAGGTTTCCACATGGTTTTAAACCACTTGTATAATGTTGAGATTCTGCCTCGGTGGCATCAGCGACACAGTCGCGCGCTTCTGTTTGTGTTGTTTGAGTAGGATGACATTTTTTGGTCTCAGGAGAGGGTTTGAGGTTTCCGCTTCATTTACTTCTAACCTACAGGCCCAAAATTCCAACACGTAAAACCACGCCGACACATTGGCCCTCTCCTCGAATGTACATACAAACCCTTATAACTTATGAACTTATTTATTTATTTATTGACGAGAGCTTTCCTTCACCTTAGGTTTTGTTTTCTTATGTGCGCACTCCTTCATATATTCTGTCTTGGGAAATTAAAAAAAAAAAAAAAATAATACTACACCTTGCCAGATCACCATCTACTACTGCCTTGTACACAGTTTCCTTAACAAGAGAATGTATACGTGTGGCATGAGGTAAAAAAAAAACATCACCACTGACCTCAGAGCAGGCCTGTGCAACGTGCATGTGACTGCAATTGTCTGTTTACGTGTGCATATTTTAAACCCTACATTTTGGACGAGAGGCTCCCGTGTGGGTGGTGAAGCTCACATGCATCTGCACCGCACGTGCACGGGAGACCGAGCAAATCAGAGGAGGGGGGGGCGGGCTGTGGCAAGGAAGTGGGATTCTCTGAAGGACTTGGGACAGCAGAGCCTCACATCATCTCAGTACTGTATCGAATATAATTACATACGTTTCCAAAACTCCAGTCGGTGTTATTTTAAACTAATAGAAATGACCTCTGTTGTTGAAATTCAATTTGAGGATTGTGGTTGCCATAAAAGAAAAGCGAAACGTTATTTTCTCGTGTGAAATTAAAAGACTTCATCCAATTATGCAGATGTGATTACATTTAAAAAATATGTGTGAAGAACAGTGATATATGCAACATAATTGAGCCAGTAAATAAGTCCAACCGCTCATTCAAAGCCGACATTATGTTTTTTTTAAACCCGCCCACAGACTCAGTTATCAGATTTTATGTAACACTAAAGATTCAAAAGATAAAAGTAGGAAATGGTTCTTTGAAATGGCCTCCACGGGAGACAAAATTAGAAAGTCTGATCCTTATGTCTTTTTTGCATCATCCCCACTCTAAACACACTAATTATGGCCTTAAATTCATATGTTGAATTTCAAATTTGAAGATTAAAACTGTATTCTGCACTCATTTGTCACTAAAAGTCTGGAAACTACAAAGTACATGAGAAGACTACTGAGTCTATCTGTCCCTCGTCTTTTTTTTTCTTTTGTCCAAATACTGTAACTTTGATTTGTTCTTTGGTTTTATATTATTTGAACGTGGGTATGTATTCATGTATGTATGTAATTACTATTATATGACTGCATAAAACCTTGTCTAGATATTTAGCAACATAATCCTTGTGAGAGTGCTTTGGAAAAATTATGCATCAGATCAAAAGTCCTAGTGTAAAGATGACAATGAGCAATAAATTATAGATAATTTTTTTATTGAATGTTTTACAACAACATTTACCTTATTGAATAAAGTAGAAGATTTTTAGACAGATTTGTCGTCTTGTTTTTTGTTTTTTTAAAGAAAACTAAGCAAAGAGAAGAAAGAATGGTTCTGTTCTAGACTTAACAATTTTCATATTTTCAGGCATTGTTCAAAATGACAGCTTCAAATTGTTAAAAAATGTGGGGATATCATCTTTTAAACTTCAGAGAAAATATTTATGGAGCCTTTCTGCGTTTTTATACAACTGAAACTCGTACAACTGGTTATGCCTTGCTTTTTTCCTTGGGTATGGTGATTTACCAACACTTTTACCACATGATCACTGTATTGTGTTAGTCTTCGAGTTAGTTTGCAAAATTATTTAGCTGTTAAATGGTAAATAAATGGTCTGTACTTTCACAGTGCTTTCCTAGCAGACTACTTAAACCCCTTTTTCAATACAAACCTCATTCATTCACACATCATGTCTTAATCTATCTATTTTGTCTTCATACAGACAATCCTGCAAGTATCTAAATACTGCAGAGAGGGATTGTAACCAAGTTGTACGTAGTGCTTAAAAAAGCAAAAAGAAGGAGCAAGATTAGAAAAATATAGAGTTGGCAAATGACTGTAAACAGCATTTAAACTCCAATCAAATTCCTTTAAAAGTCCAAATTCAGTCAAGTCATTCTGAAATTACTTCCTAACGGCAAAAGGACTTTATGACTTTAAATATGACAAGATTGTCGACTTGACTTATCAGATGCAGTAAGATTTTTTAAAATATCTTCTTAAAATAGGAGTCATTGGCGAAAAGTCATACCAAATAAAATGTACTCTTGTGGAGCCGGAGGTTCCGGCAAGCTGTCCCTGAGGAGACGCAGGCCGATGCCAAACCTAAATTAAATCCATAATTCTGTGAGAAACAGTGTAACTGTTTTCATAGGTCAAATTTCCTCCCAAGCCACAAATTTGGACATTTTAAGGCACCACTAAACATTAAATATTGAAAGGTGAAATAAAGTTTTATTCTCTGATGAGAAAAAAAAAACTTGGATGTTCCTAATAGCTTCCGATATTATTTGTACGACCAGGGGCTCCCACTGAAGATGTCTTCTGCATCGCACAGAAGAGGCACAATCATGATCTGGGCTGTTCTTTCCTTTAATGGAACTAGGTTGTGAATATAACAGCCGTTATACCTGATCAATAACAATGGTGGTCAACTTTATTTCGTCTGTTTCTTTGACGGTCTTCTCAGTGCCTTAATGAGATCCACCAATAAGAAATGCTACTACATATTTTTCCCCAAGTCTTATGTTTTTTTCAATTATGCCATTCTTTAATCAACATACTGTATCTACTGTAGATTGAGGGGTGGTGTCCAGCTTTGCTATGACATGAACCTTAAACGTTGGGCCTCATCTACTGTTCCTCCTGTGGTACCTTCATCCGGCTGCCGGGGGACTCTTTGGCCCTCAGTTTTTTTCTAAAAGTCCACAGGTTCCTCACTTGCATGGCTCTGAGACTCTGGAAATACTACGCTGGTATTTTTTTAGGTGGGTAGCTAGTTTGTACTCGGATCTTGCTATGCACTGAAGATGTCACCTAGAAAAGTTACACAAATAAAATTACTATGATATTATTGTTATCATTTAATTATGAATGTATTATTAATAATACATCAATAATAATATGATTCAATAGGGCAAATTGTTTTGAAACTATGAGTTTATTTACAAAAAAGAGAGTAAAGTAAGAGGCTTTAACAGAGGACCTTTATAGAACATGGTCTTGGGGATGAAGCAAAGCAATGATGTTCCTTCTTCCCACTCTGCTGTTCAACTCATGAATAATATAAAACGGGAAATGTTGGAAGACACTTTCCAGCCAGCTTCAATTCCTTTCGCTGTCTTTTTTTTTTTTACCCAGTTTCTTGTGGTTTTGGCTTCTTCTCCATTGGCCCTTTTTTCCCTAAATTTTAATACAGAGTGCAAATAAAAACAGATTTGAACTATTACATCCCCCATAAAAAACATTTAAATCCTGATGTAAGTCATTGGGTGTTATGGGAACACCATAAAAAAGAATGTCTATTACATTTATAAATAAAAATGCTTTTCTCCCTTTTGCTTATCTCCCTTTGGAAAAAACATCCCGGCATCCCTGCTGGGTAGATTGCCCCACCCACTTTGCTTTAGTAAAAATCGATGGATCATTTACATTTATACTGCATACATACTACATAATGCACTTTACGGACGCTTTTATCCAAAGCAACTTACAGGAACAAGTATATGATAAGTGTAGTGAGTGGTTGGTTTGTTGCCGTTGCTGTGGTAGCACTCCATTGGTCTATCCACCAATGGCGTACCATGGATGAAAATAGTCTTGGGGGGGCTGCACTCATGGGGATAGACAAACTAATGCACCCTGGGGTACTGAATACCCTCTTTATGAAAGTATTTAGGTCGACGGGAGCAGATCCAGAAATGGGAACAGCTACAGATAGCAATCGTTGCTCAAAGGACTGAGAGGTTAGATGACCTTTTTCAGAATAACCAGATTTGCTGCCAATGAGTGAGTTTTTCCCACAAGAAGGCAGACCGATTACTGTAGGTGGGTCTTGCTGTGCTGACCAAAAGATGGCGAGTTCTGCATTGAAACCTCAAGCACAGTTGGTCTTGCTGAACCTGTATAACATGCACCCCAGATGGGACTCGAACCCATAATCCCTGGCTTAGGAGGCCAGTGCCTTATCCATTAGGCCACTGGGGCATGTCACAGAGTACTACTACGCACAGAAAATGTTGGTCTAATGGTCGTATGGTATGTGACATATGTTTGGCGATCTCATGGTCCCTGAAAGTGTATTCTTGGTATCGATAGCCCATTCAAAGGATAACACAGATGTTGTTTTTGACAGTTATTCAAAATTCTTCAACAAACTCTTACCATCATGTTCCACTGATGCTGTTATATGGTTCAGTTTGGGCTTTGAGACGATCTATTGGTTTATGTGATCAATAAAACTAAATTTAAGAGGTGGTTGTGAAATGTCTTACCATTTTCCCACCACAAATGTTTCCCCAGGTGGTTCTGTTAAACAAACCATGTGATGCAGGAGGTTTGCAACCTCCACAGTCATGTTTTGAAGTCTCCAGCTTGGCTGCACAACCATGGGTTTTTTAAGATAATTCAGAATCAGACCAAGCCTCACAGACTGTCCTTGGTCTTTAGTCTGAAACTTACATCACCAGTCAGGTTGGACCAGCTGAAGGTGTGGCCTCAGATCCACCTCAAGCCTAATGGAACAGGTGGGCATGAATAATCCAAATAAATATAGATGAGCTCCCACAAAATCACACTTGTAGTTCGAAGAGGGCTTAAACTTTTAGATAAAAAGTATGCCACTGAATCTCAGAATGAGAAAAGCTGCTTATTCATATATTTTCATTTAAATATTTCATTTATCAAAACAAAAAGAGGGGATACTGGGGCATCGGGATGTGTCTGTCTGGTTTTTGTGGGTCAGATCCCCTCAATCCCTTAAACACACACCGACACACACATATGCACTCGCTAATGCACTCAATCCCCCTCACCCTCACTGCTAAATCCCCACCCTCATTGTCCCTATCCTCCTGAAATCCGTAAACCATCGTGTGTCCTGCACACAAACACACACGCACAGACACACAAAGTCACTAAATTCACACACACAAGCTTTTTCCTCAGTCCTTTTCCCTCCATCTATCGGCGGCCAGTGCTAATGCACTGGTTAATGGCCGTCTAACCCCCTATTCACACTCAGATTACACTCTTGGGTACGCAGTCACACGCACGCGTGCATCATGCGTATGTGCATCAAAAAGCGCACAAACACTGGCTTAGAATAGAGTCTTCATATAGCATACTTTTATATAAAAGGACACACTGATGCACATGTACACAAACACACACAAAGCAGGCACTAATGGTTTGACTGTCGTCAACACGGACTTCCCCGACTAGATTAGGATTAACAATCCACCTGCACCACACACACTGAGTGTATATAAATAAAACCAGAAGCAATCTCTAATGTAAACTCTCAGAGTGACGATAATTTACTCATTGTACACATTCACACACTCCAAGGCGATTGCTCACCAATGCTATATAATCTAAATTCTTTAACCTACTGTTTTGGGGGACCTTCACTCCACACTTCTAAGACTTTTCTTCCCTTTGTCTCTTCCACAACTACCCTATTGTGCAGCTTTTGGTGATTTTAAGTACTGGGACCTTTTTTAAATGGGTTTTTCCTCATTTCTATCAAACAGTGGGGTCAGGTGCAGTGGTAGTATCTCATTGACCCAGGTTAATCGAGTGTAGCTTTTCTAATTAAGCTTTGACTTGAATTCCTACTAAAGCTCAAGCAGCATCACTGTTAGAAACTTTTTTGCAATTTAACACAACTGACTTCTAAAACTCATGACAGATGTAAATTAGCTACTTGCTCCTTAAAATGCATTGGTCCACCGCAGAAAATATTATAGTGTTGAAATACAGGCCAGCAAACTGTCCAGTTTCCACATTTCCTTACCTCTTTCCAAAAATATGGACACAGGAGTTTGACACATTCATATAATTTCAAGTCTGGGTGATGTCTTCTTTCCAATGACTGTTTACTTCAAAGTAAGTCATGGTGGAAAGGAGAAGTTTTTCCACTGTGCCGTCAGATGCAAAAGGTTAGCAATAAACAGTTAAAGTGTATGGCTACTGGTCAGACTAATCTACATACTAGATGCTACATAAATTTCAAGTGCAAATATTGACATTCTTCCTTAATGACTCTGACAATGTCATCAGAACGATGACCAACAGGAAATAACCACCAATGAATTTGTCACCATATCACATTTTACAACTATGGTTTATGACACTATTATGACTCGTACAAATTCATGTGATTCATGATGTCTGATTAGACTTGACTGTTTATTCCCCGATCAGGGCTTGTTAGTCGCTACATAATGCTTTGTTTTATTCATTTTTTCTTCAAAGAATATTTTTTGGG